GACGCTAATCGACGCTAGCCGACGCTACATCGGCGCTATCTCACCGCCTCCCAGGTGCCGACCGACGCTAATCGACTCTAAAGACGGACTTGGGAGGGTACACCATGCTCCCATGCTTTGCTACCCCACATCATTCATTTCGGCGGGCTCACAAGATGGGCCCGTCATGGCGCACGGGCTTGGCTGCGCGGCACGTGGACGCGTTGCCCGGGCCCCAGGGCGCGCTGACCACGGCCAAGCTTGGGGCAATGCCCGCTACGGCCCGCGCGCAGCCGCTGCAGCCGCTAGGCTGCGGTCGGGAGCTGTTGCTCAGCGTGTCGCGGCGCCTGCCCCGGCGACACGCTGTGCCCTGCGAGCGGGCGGCGTGCCGCTTTGCCCCGCGGGGCGGGAGGCGCGGGAAAGCTCGGGACGCTGACGCTGGGGGGGGCCAGAGGTCGATGGCGCATCGCACCGAAGCGTGGTGGGCCAGAACCCGCGGAGCGACACGCCATCCAAAAGCTCCCAACCGCAAACACGTACTCACGAAAGCAATATAGGTGCCCCGATGCGTGTCCACTCGTAAGCTGAAGTCGCCCTCCCTACACTAATCGATTCGGTCGGGCAACACCTCTCGCCCTCGCGCGACTTCGCATAGCCCGCACGCGCGCGCGTCACGCAGGCAGGAAGTAGAGGGCAGAAAAAATCCATCCCGATGATCACCACCCCGACACGCGAAGCCGTTTAGCAAACGCACCCAGAGAAATAATCAAACAGTGCAGGGCTGTTCAAAAAAATGCCCGGGGCCTTTTAGTCCTCGAGGACCGGCCATGTGCAGGGGCCCATCGCGAGCGAGGCCGCGAGCCCTGAGCTCTCGAGGCCGACCCCACATAGGCCCCGCGGCCGGGGCCGGAACGGACTCCGAGAGAGCGGGGCGGCGGGGAGGAGCCATTCGTGGAGGGGCGGCCCTGGGAGGCGAGGCACGGAGGGCCACGGCGGAGTAGGGCGGCTCGGTGGGACGGCCCCCTCCGCAACTGTTGCGGAGGGGGCCGTTACAGCCTTCCGCAGCAGCCGGGAGCAGTCAAGATGGTGGGCTTCTTTTCCACCGCCACCACCACAAGTAGGAGAGGGAGGGGGTCCTCCTCCTCCTCCTCCTCCTCCTCTTCGTCCTCCTCCTGATCCTCCACCTCCTTCCCCTCTCCAGCTTATGGTGGTGGTGGTGGTAAACAAGCCCATCACAAGAGGGGAGCGTTCAAGAGAGGGGTCTTCAGATACTGGCCCGAGGCATGCGCGCGGCCTTGGGGGAGTCACGGAACGCACTGGAATAAGAGGAAGGGCCATGAAATCCGGGGAAGTACCATGTCCCCAGCCGTGAACGAAGCGGGCCCAGACGGCACAAGAGGCCCCCCATGCGGGCTCCAGAGGCTCCCAGGATGCTCCAAGAGGGGGGATCCGAGTTCACCTGTCGGGCCCTTCCCCCAAAGATTGTCTCCGAGACTGCCAGAAGGCCACACAGAGGCCTCCAGAGGCGCACAAGACCCCCCAAGAGGCCCAAGAGGGCCCAAACATCCCCGAAGAAACTCCAGAGCTACTCCCGCGAGCACGCAAGCAAATGCCACGATGTAACACTATGGGCGGGCGGAGTGAGCGAAGCGATTGAATCAATTTGTCCACCTGCTGACCCGATAGATATAGAATGAGATGGACAGATCGATTGATAGTGAGATCGGTAAAAAGATCAGGGTGAGGGGGCCGAACGATCATTATTGGACCTGGGTGTGGTAGAAGAAGCGTTCCGTTCGAATGATTATGCTTGTGATGTTGCGTTGTCCTCGTCCTCGCCCGCGACCCGCCCGCGACCCACCCGCGACCCACCCCGCGACCAAACCCGCGACCCACCCGCTACCCACCCGCGACCCATTCCGCGCCCGCCTGCATTTCTCGTATTCGCAATTGCGGGTTGCTACATACATATAGTTATATAATACATGTTGAAATATGCGGGTACTGATATTTGCAAGTGTACTGAACGTGAGATCAAGAGATAGATAGTGAGATCACACATAGCGAGACCGATCGATAGATACATTTACTGTTCGGTAGAATGGTTGTCTCGCTGGTTGCCCCGTTGCTTGTCCTGATGTTCGTCCCGATAGATGGTAACATCGACAGGTTTTGGAATAAGAGAAAGTCGCGACGTGCGCAATCTGAATATAGATGGCCGACAGACATGTGCACACGGCTGGGAGCTTTTGTCTACGGTGTCTCGGCAAGGGACCCGGCAACACGCAGTGCCCTACGATCGAACAGCGTGTCGCTCCGCTCCGCGGGGCGGCAGGCTGGGACAAGCTCGGAACTCTGTCGTGTGGAACTGAACGAAGTGGGAAGCGTGTCGCGCCGAAGCGTGGCGGGCCAGAACCAGCGGAGCGACACGCTATCCCAAAACTCCCAACCGCAGATGCGTCATAGTTAAACCAATATTGGTGCCCCGATGCGTGTCCACTCGTAAGCCAAACTCACCCTCCCTGTGCTGCTCGATGCGGTCGGGCAATATTTACCACCCTCGCGCGGCTTCGCTTAGTCTGCACGCGAGCACGTCACGCAGACACGAAACGATACAGAAATATAGTTCCTATTGGGGAGGGCGCGTTCCGTTTCAGTTAGATCTAGCCCCGAAGCCTCGCACACATATTACATGTCACTCGGGCGCAGAATGATGTATATGCTCTCCTCCATATAGGTATATAACAGATTTGTGTGCTTGCCGTTGTACACACACATCTATATATATATATATATATATATATATATACATACAGATGTATACATTTACGGCCACCCTCCGGGTGGTGAGGAGATTGGTGGGGGGGAGAATCACGGGCCACCGATGGGACACCACGGGCAAACGACGGGACACCACGGGACACCATCGGGATACCATCGGGGCACTAATCGATCTCACTTTCGATCCCACTGTCGACCTCACCATCGGACATAGTATCGATCTCGCCCGTTCGATCCCACTATCGATCTCACTATCGGTGTCACTATCGATCGCACGATCGATCTCAATATTTATCGATTTCACCACGGGACACCGACGGGACACAAACGGGACAACCGCTACGGGACAACAACGGGACACCGACAGGACACCAACGGGACACCGAGGGGACACCGACGGGACACTGACGGTACAGCGACGAGACAGCGACGGGACAACCACGGAACACCAACGGGACACCGACGGGACACCGACCGGCGGGACACCACGGCGGGACAACCCGGCCACCGCCCGCCCACCGAGGGGGAGAGGCGGACAGCGACAGGAACACCACGGCGGGACAACCCGCCCACCGCCCGCCCCCTTGGGAGGGAGGAGGGGCGGCCAACGGCTCTTGACCCGCCCTAACCACAGCGGGGTCGTTCCCCTCGCCTGCCCACGCAGCTTCGCCTGGCTGACGAAACGAACCCGAACCCCGAAACCGAAACCGATTTCCCAATGGGGGGCTGCTCTCCGTTCCACTTCGACTCTCACCTCGCAGCATCCGACGTCTACAGGATCGCTTCTCCATCCCCCGCTTACCTCATCCCTCAGCTCCTCAATGTCCTTCATCGCCTCAAGCGTATCTTTTCTCCTGTTCCAACTCCCACTTCATCTTTTCGTCTCCCTCCCCCTTCTATTCCTGCTCCTCCTCCTGCTCTTCCTCCTCTCGCCTGCTCCTCCATCCGCCACGCTCCCTACTGCCCCGCCCCTCCTGCACCAGTAAAGTTACTCCCTGTCATCAGAATTTCGACGCGTATCGGGCCGTGGGGTTGACGTTACCCCCCCGAGGCCCAGACAGAAGAAGAAGAAGAAAAAGAAAAAGGAGGAATCAATATCATCCAAGAATTTCTGCCGTTCCACCCCTCCTCCTCCTCCTCCTCCTCCTTCTACTCCTGCGCCTCTCCTCCTCCTCCTCCCCCTTCTCCTCCTCCTCCTCCTCCTCCTCCTCCTCCTCCTCCTCCTCCTGTCTCTCCACCAACTCCGCCTCCCTCCTTTTCGCCTTGGACATCCCGCCACAACAACACTCGCAGAGCGAAGGAGGCACGGCACCACGTTGGGGCCACGGTGGGAGGCGGACAGCCAGATGCATATGATCCAACATCCACCCTGAATCAACATATGGGTGTGCGCATCGGCCTCCGACAGGCCCTGCAATGCACGCAAGGATGTAATTGGCACAAATGTTCGTGAACAAATCTCCAGGTGACTCGTGGTGCGGATGCTCGTCTCTGAAAAGCGACCCCCAGCCTTCCGCGACCTTGGCACCAGGCGTCCAGAACGGGGAGATGAGCCCGAGCGGACCCCTGGGCCACGGAAGGCGACCGTTTTTTAGCATCCGCACCTGATTCTTCTCTATATTCAAACATCCGCTAGCCAGGTCCCTCGGATGGCGGCCTGACGTGTAACTTCCACACACGCTGCAAAAGATAATCCCCTGCCCCGTGGCAAGAACCCTGGCCACTCGGAAGGCGTGGGGAGGGGAAGGGGGGACGAGCGGGCAAAGGAGGGAGCGAAGGGCAGGGGCGAGGGGGCCACAAGCCGAGCTCCGGCCGCTTTCACAGTCCGAAACGTCCTGGCGCACTCGAAACATTGCCAGGCGTTGCCCATCCATCTGACTTTATGGGCTATATAAATATGTCTTTGCTTTTCAGGCCTGGCTCTGGGAGCTCTCCCTATCCCGCCAAATAGTTCTCGAGCTGACGGCCATTCTTCCAGAACTGCCGCCGCAAAGTCTGCAACAAGGTTCCATGTACAGAGCTGGGCGGTGATGGTGGCAACATCTTGGGGGGACCTATAAAAAACCCGCCGCCTCTTTAGCATGCGCGTCGGCCCAATTGTTGCCGCGTGGTTTCCACCTGGGCTGGGCCTCGGAGCCTTCCTTTAAATGGGCATTGACTTTGTGAATCATCCAGGCCCGTGGGGCCATATTCGTAATCCTGCGCCAGCGACCGCTCTGGACAGTTTTACCTCTGGAGGCCTTCTGCATATCCTTGGAGCCCCATATCAGCGCAGCGCAATCGACGAACACGTCCAAAATAGCCTCATCCTCCAGGGAGGGGGTCCTGGCCCTGGTGTTCGACCATGTGCATCAAGCCGTGGTGTTCAGCAAGCACTGCAGTTTGGGGAAGCCCGCGAGGTATGGACCCCATCATCCCCCTGAGCAGATTCCCGTCGTCGTCAACTTCCACAGCGGCCCAACCTCCACGAGCTACCACATCCGTTTTGGGGTCCCAAACAGAGCCGTCCGAAACAAAAACCTTGGCCTTGCGCGGGGGCAAGAACGGGTCGGTCGGCCCCTCCTGGCCGAAATACTTGACAAAGTCTTCGATCGGGGCCTCTAGCTCAATCTCGGGCACAGGGGTCCACAGCGAGCTGTACAGCGGGTCCTGCTCACCCGCTGCTAGCGCCTCCTCAAGGAGGTCCTGGTCCTACGCGAGCCTGACAGTTGCCCCCTTGGGGCACTTCCAAATCCTGTGCCGCAGCGAATCAATGGCTGGGCAAAACTTACAATACAGGGTGATCTCATACCCCCAGCTGTGTAGCGACGCAGCAGTGGTATACGCACGACAGAATATGTTCCTGGGAATATCTTGCTGGGTAAAACTGCAATCCTTACTCCTGAGCTTTGACCTGATGGGCTGGGTCCAGAGTCATCTCTCCTGAATTCCAAGCACCATTGGATGGTCCCAGTCCTGGGTAAGCTTGTCGACGCTGGCCTTGAGATACTTCCGCTGAATATCCTGATTGAAGATCCTTTTCACACGCTCTGGCGGGGAGTCCGTCAGGCCGACGGGGGTGCCACTAGCTGAGGTGAACCTGGCCTGGTTGGCAAACGTCCACCCAGCTTCCGCCCCCCCCCCCCCCCCCCCTAGCGGAGCATCAAGGATAGGATGCGTGCCTCTGCGGCGCCAGCCAAGACTCGGAGGTGTGCTGACCAGCGCCTGCAAGCACGCGTGCAAAGCCTTGGTGAGAGCCCCTGCACATGAGCCATCTGACGCCCGCAAGTGCGGGCCCGTGGCATCCCACCATTCTCGAGCATATCTGACAACAGTGTCTCCTGCATGGCTCAGCGGGCCCTTCGAGGTCTCTGTGGCCCAGATGAGGTCGATGGGGGCCACAGGGCACCAGATACCAAGCGCCTTAGCCTCCATGATTATGAGCTTGTGGGTTTCTTTAGGACATAAGCCAACCACATCACTGCCATACGTCATACTCGGTTTTTGGCCCACAAAGAATAGTTTAGCCTTGGTCCCAGCCTTCCCCCTGAGGTTCCTGATCTTGGGCATCCTGCGGAGCGCTTTGGACCAACGGCTTCGTTTCTTGGCAAGGTCGGGGGGCCTTCTTGGAGCAACTGCGGGGGGCCTTTCTTGGTGCGGACCTTGTTGGGGACCCTCGAGCACCTGTTGCCTATGGAGAAGTCCACCCCCAAGTTCACCACCTCCCCCGTAAGCGTGTGCGCGTGCTGGCCAACGCACTGCTGGGCTCCCTCCATAACCTCCCTGGAGTTGGACGTGAAACACCCTTTCTTCAGCGAGATCGGGGGCCCCAGTCTGTTTGCACACGCACTGGCAAGTTGCCCTGCCATCAGAGCAATACTATGCAAACAGCCTGCAACCTCTCTGTGGGCTCCACCCACTTCGAGGTCATCAATATGGACCGTGAAGCTGGCATTCTCGATGGGCTCTATACCACGGACCATGGGCATCATGTAAGCCTTGCTTTCGAAAGTCGCAATACTGCTTCCAGCGACTATCCCCTGGTCAGGGTCGGTGTAGAACAGGGGCGAGCAGACGCGATCCATCATGATCACTCTTGGCCATCTGTAGCTGGAGATAGCGGCGCGCAAGGCGCGCAGCGGGAAGCCACTGAGCTTGCACTCTTCCCAGAGGGCTGAGTGTCGCACATGCTCGTAGCACTGGAGAAGGTCGTCAAGCAGGATCCCCACCTGCAACCCACTCTCGTCAGCTAAAGCACTCCTCGCCGCCTGCCTCCAAATAACGTCCGTCGTGCTCCTCCTTGGCGCCATGTTAAATACTTCTCCATCCTCCAGTTGAGCCTCCCACTCCTTGCAGTATCCTGCCGAGACCTTCGAATGCAAACGCGAATAGCTCTGGTAGAAGCCGATCGGCCTTCTTCCAGGCTCGGGCTTCTGGATCAGCTGCACAAGCAAGACTCGGAGCGAGGATGGGGCATGACCTATTGCCGCCTGCAAGGAGAAGGGGGGCGACATGGTGTTGAGGGCCTCGTCGGATAGACACGAATAATGCCGAGGATGGAATCCATCGGCCGCTATAGTGTTCGCCTTGAACCCCTTTGAGATCCTCCTCAAGGCACCTGCATCAAGGGCCTCGGGGATGACATAGTCGGGAGGGAGGGGCAACTGCAGGGGCCCCTTGCAAGTCTCGCCCGCCTTCCAGGCGGCCTTCCAGAGAGTCGGCTGAGCCTCGAACCTGGCACTGAAGCTGCTCGTGTAACCTCCCTCCTCCAGCTCGATGACATCCTCCTTAAAGTCCGTCGCAACCTCGGTGCACACATGGGCCCATCGGGCCCCTCCTTGGAGGGCTTCGGAGCACCAATCGGACCACCTCTGGTTGCTGTGAGTCTTTTCAACCTTGAACGCCTGCAGCTCGATTCTGGCCGCGAGCATCGCCCAAGACTCCAACTCGAGTTCGGCCTCCAGCCAAGGTTCTGAATCTGTGCTGAGCAGCTTCTTGCCCATGTACTGCATGAGCGGCTTCCAAAACGGCTCACCTTCAGGCCATAGGTGCTTAAATTGAAGCCTCCGCCCACGAGCTGCATGGGTCGCCAGCCTCCGAAAATGCGGCATGCTGGTCGGGCTGCCGCGCTTTCGAAAAAGGGCCGGGAACTCCCGCAGGCGCCTGGGCACCCATCCGACGGCAGGCGACACTGACTTGAAGGGGCTCCTCTTGGTGATCCGGAGTTTTGCCAGCGACACCGACTCGAAGACATACGGTGGCCCTCCAGGAAGCCCATGGACATCATCCTCGTCGACCTGATAGACCCCTTCGAGCTCGCGCCGAGCCCTGGGCACCCACTCCTGGCACACGCGATCCAGAATTTGCTGAAACTCTTCCAGACGAGCTCCCGGCACCGGTTGAAGTCCCCCTCCGTCCAACCGGAGGTCCTGCAAGGGTCCTGCAAGAGCAGCCTGAAGGTCAGCAAAACTAAGCGGGGCAGGAGGGGGCCCCGCGGGCCTCTTTTGGGGAAGCTTCTGGATCCTAGCAAGTTTGGATACGATTATCGCCCCCGTGTCCCCAGCCAGGCCAAGCAGTGCAGGGCGGTGCGGCGCCACTGCTGCTCCCAGATCTGCCTCGCAGAACTGCGCCCCGAAGCTGAGCGAGTGGCTGCAAATATGATAATGTAGAACTGCCGAATGGTCTGATTGCACCAGTGCGTAGCCAGCTGGCTGAACGATCTGCCCTCCATATCGCCCGGGTGCCAGCCCAATAGACATCGCTGCTGGCTCTAGGTTGAAGCCCCCGCCTGCAACAAACGGGGTCCCGATCTCGAGAATGTTCTTGCCCGTGGCCATCCCCAGCAACGCGTTTTCTGGACCCAGGCCCGTTCCAGAATGCCAGTAGTTGCAGTAGATGCTCAGAAGCCCGAAAGACCGAGACCTGACCCCCCCCTCAAAAACAAAAAAACGCTGTAGAATGCGCCCAGGGGGAACTATGCCAAGGCTACGGGGGTCCACTCACAGGTCAAGATGTTTCCTGTACAAAATGGCCACCCCCGCGCTCGGGAAACCTTTTTTTCCCCTGAAGACAGGGCGCCCAGAAGGAAGCCCAACCCCTCTGGAGGAGGGCAGCCTTTACTTCAAAAACACGATTAAAAGCTAGCTTATGCTCCTGAACTAAGACAATAGACGCATTGCAAGTCTTCAGAAACTCAGACGTGGTATTCCAGCAGGACCCATTGACCGTGCAGATCTTGAGCTCCCGCTGGGTGGCTCTGACACCGTGAGCCTCGTTGGTGAGCCTTGCATCCCCAGACACAGGCCCAGACGTGAAACGTGCGTTACTAAAACCCCAGGGGGGCCGGTCAGGGCTTCTCCGAAGCCCGAGCTCTCACGGCCGCCTCACGCTGTTCGCGCGAACGACTCCGCCGCGGCGACCGCCCCCCTAGCGGATCAGCGGCGCCCGCATCACGGGCCGCCGCGCCGCCTGCTCCGCCACCCTGGTCTGCTGCTGGTTGTGGCGCATTCTCTGCCACTCCGCTGCCGTCCAACTTCATGTTCGCTGGTCCACCTGCTGCTGCTGCTGCTGCTGCTGGCGTCTCTGGCTGCGCCTGCGGAGCTGCTGGCCCTGGGGCTTGGGCAGGTGGACCTGGTGCTGGATCTCCAGCTGGTTGCACTTCGACAAGGACTGCCTGGTTTGCCGACAGCGCCGCCGCCAGCGCCTGGAACGCCGACACCAAGTGCTGGTCCCCCGCCGTCGCCATGCCCATAGACTCCAGCGCCGTCTTCATGGCGCAGAAACTGGCCGCGGCCGCTTGGGGTGCTGGAGTGGGCTGCTGGCGCTGTCGGATTAGCTCGTTCTGCTCATCCTGGAGGGCTTGAACCTCAGCACGCGCCGTGGCCAATAGCCCCTCCTCATTGGATATCTTCTCTTCTATCTCTGAAGCCCTCGTGCGTGCTGCTTCTAGTTGCTCACGGAGTTGTGCAACACCCTTCTCTTTCACCCCGATACTCTTCATCTTACCTTTCAGACGCTGTGTGCTTGCCTGGATCAGCTGTGTCGGAGTCTTCTGCGCATCCCGCTTGGCCCTCACCTCGTTCAACACACCATTGAGGGGGTCGAGGAGCTGCTTCTGGGCTTCAGCTGGGAGGTCGAGGCGCCCGACCTGATCAACTGCTTGCTGGAGCGTCTGAATGGCGGGGCCTAGCTGGGGTCCAACTGCGGCGCCCTCCTGCTTCATGGGCGAGAGGCCCTTGCTTCCCGCTGACGTGTCGCCTGCCGCCCAGGGCGGCTTCGATTCCTCTGGCTGACTGTCTGTGCTCGCTGGGGTAGCCTGCCAGTGGCCACCACGCTGCCAGCACCACTCGAGGTTCAGTGAGACCTGTGCCTTGCACGATTTACAACTCCATGCGTGGGCCACTGGAGACTTCTGCTTCTCGTGGCCCTTGCCTTTCTTGCTGCCCTTGTCCTTGCCGCCCTTCCCCATGTTGCCGCTGCTGTGGTGCGCCTTGAGGAGGGCCCTGGCGTCGGACAGGCGCAGGAGGACTCTGGCAATTCCTCGCTTTGCTCTGAGCCGCCGATGCCAAGCTGGTTCACTGTCTGGCCTGAGACGGGCTCGCACTGCACGAGCGCGGTCGCTGGAACTCGCCATGGCTCCCCGCGACGCGCATGGGCCCTGGCCGCACGCGGATCGCGCATGG